CTACATATATAAAAAATTTTAATTATTGCTTATATATATTGTTAAATTTATTTTATTTAAAATTCATATTATAAAAGTAAAAAAATTAAATTAGAATTATTCAAAATAAATAAAGAGAATAACTTTTATTTGAGAAAAACAATTGAGGAAAAGAAAAGACAATATCCTTCCATATTCTTCCTTATACTCATTTAGATATACTAAAATATAGAATAAATTAAAGTAAAAAAAAAAAAAAAAAAGGGAAAGCCTATTCCCTAGCCTCTAATTTTAAATTAAAATCAATATTGGTGATTTTAGATTAAAATCTTAAAAAGAAATTTAAATCAAATCAAAATAATAAACTTAATTTAATATGTATGAAACTTTGGTGTTTGTGGATGCAATTTATGAGAAGTTAAAGAACACATATGATAAATAGAGTGAATTTTATATATTTGTTTAAAAGTAAAAATACTTTGTATTTTAAAATAATAAAATTTTAAAATTTTCTTGGTTGACCAAACTAAGTCATAATTTGGTATGGTGACCTCAAAATTCAGGGTTCACACACTGAGGCACGAGATCTAATACCATATAATTGAGGGGGTGATTGTTACGGTGTCTTCCTCGAGGGGCGAGGACCCATTCCCCACGAAATCTTCAAGTTGAAAGGAAAAATACATGACCATGAGGGAGACTTTAGAAAATTCAGTGTGTGAAAGCCAAAAGCGAGAGAAAACGGCATTCAATTTCATTAGCAATGATTGATACAAGGTTTTCTGTTTCAGACGTTAAAATACGGTCTTACTTTAGTCCTATACGCAACTTTGATGCTTGTAGTCTTTTCCTTGGACAACTAAGGAATGTCATCGAAAAAGGGTGTCAATTACTTTTTAAGTCAAATTTGTAAACTCTGACTCTAGCATCTTTCCCATTGATACGTATGAATATAGGATCAAGTTTTTGCGTAAATTCCAGGGTTCACACTAACACTCGCTATGAATTTCAAAAGGAAACTTCGGTGAGGGTTTTCTAATTGGGGATAGCAGAAGATCGGAGATCTTAAAAGTTAAAATATTAAAATATTGATGAAAAAATTAAAAATATTTTTAATAAATTAATAGATATAAAAAATTTTATTAAAAATATTTAAATAATTATTAATTTACATACAATTCTAACAATAAAATATTAAAATAGATTGATTTTTATTTTTATCTTATAATTATTAATTGAAACTTTATAATATTATTAAATATCTTTAATAAATTTTTTATGTATTAATTTATTAAAAATATATTAATTTTTTATTTTTAATATTTTAATTGTCAAAAAAAATTTTAATTTTCCTCAATTTCTTATTAACTTATTCCATATCAATCCTTATTAATTTATTCTAATATCTAAATATTTGAAGTTCAGATGTTAGTGTGTCACTTCCTCTGCCTTCGATTAAAAAAAAAATGATTGAGTCTTTGATCAAGCAAAGACCTGAAGAAAACCTTATCACTTTGCAGTCATGAACGCGCTTTGACAATAATCTAGATTTCTAGTTTCTTGTCTTCTTGTGGGAATCCAAGAGAGAAAGGAAAGAATATTGACACATTGTGGTCCCAAACAAACAAACGAACGTTTGGACATATTATGATCAATCTGAATCTGATTACATTGCCAAAAAAAAGTATCCTCAAATATTTATTGGAGTTGCTTTTCGAATGGTAAGAAGTAATTAAGAAAAACTTAAATACAATGAAAAGTTTATATTTTTTAAAATTATTTAGATACAAATTAACAATTTTAACAAATTATTTATCTACTTTTTAATTGAAATTTATCTAATATTTATAGACATGTAATTTGCATATACCCAAATAACTAATCATTAATCAGACCCAAAGATTTGTCTACCACACTAGAACAATTTAAGAAAAACATATCATTGAGAACTATTGATAAATACTGTAAATGCCCAAATGATTAAAAGAAAAAAAGGAAGATAAATGTAAATGCCCTTTTAGTCAAATACCTATTTTGTTGTGAGAGTAACTAGTGTGTACATATGAAAAACTTCGGAATTTGGAGCAAGATGTAGTTGAATTGATGGTCAGAGGAGGCCAAGAAGATGTCATGATTTCTTACCTCGCGATAGGTAAAGATGTCACTGTTTTTCTTGGATTCCTCTTCACAATCTAAAAGCCCTCCCATCGATAAAACATAGATGCAGGCGCAGATGCAAACATCTTGATTAGTTAATTGCTTGTCCTAGGTTATGTATATATACATTATTAAACACTAATCATTAATATTGCAAGTAGGTCCTGTAGCTTGGTTACAGCGTTGGTCTTATGAGACGAAGGTGGTAGGTTCCAGCCCTGCCGGACCAACTTAAACATGTATTTTTGCCCCTAAAGTTGGCGGCTTAACTGGTAATCTTGAGGTAATTTCCAACATGATGCTGAATCCAGCACTATGCATGAAATCTTCTGTGAATTTGACAATAGAAGGTGGGTAAGTTAAATAGTGGTAGGGCAAGAATAGTGCATGAAATGAGTAGGAAAATATAGGTCTTTTTCAGTAAACTAGAAAGGTAATTTTTTTATATAATTCGTTATTAAATATATTAAAAAATTTAATATAACAAAAAAATCTTAAAACACAAACCCTCATACCATATGGTACCAAATTAACGCAAAGATACATACAAGTTTTGCGTTACTGTAAAGGAAGAAAACAATGCCATATGAGCATTGAGGTCCCCTGTTTTGATGGTCAGACTCTCAGTTGGATTGCAGATTGCAGATTGCAGCCTCTAATATTGACCTGTAGATCACTACCGTTGACAACTTCGCAACATTGTCTTCGTGGTGCCTGCTCATTCGAAGGATAATTAGGCCACAACCAAAACAAAATATTTCATAAACCACACAAATAAATCACGGTCCCAGCTGCTTACCATTTTCCAAGTTTCCGGGCTCAACGTTGAAGCAGAGACGTTGATGAATTCAACAGCAAACAGAGGAGCATAGTCAGTGCCGTTACACTCCAGTAGATCAACAAACCTTTTGTATCGAGTCAAACTTCGATCCTGAGCAATATTTTCAACACTTTCCAAGAAATACACGACAGGTTTCTTACACGGGTCCGAGCTCATGGGTCGGGTGTTAAACACAAACTGCTCTTTGCTCTTTCTCTTCCACACCTGAAATGTCTGAAACGCAGTTTCGAGATCTTTTGTTGTTACAAGAGATGGATAGAGTTGAACAGTGTAACCCCATGACACTGAAATCGACCATTTTCGGTTCAAGTCGTAGCAGATACTCTGCTGCAAGGTCCGACCTGGATCCACTTGATACGCACTCATTAACCTTTTTAGTGAGTCGATCTGGGTCATGTTAGGAAAAATGGACTGAACGTAGTTTAGGTGGTGCAGCGACACCAGCGGTGCCAACGGGTGGGCCGCCAACAAACCATACAGATCTCCTCGAATGTCAACCTGTAAAAAGCATTCAAATCTATGTGTGTGTGTATATATATATATATATATATATATGTGTGCTAATTAGATTTTTTGTATAACATTATGAAACTAACCGTTAACAATTTCTTTTAATTGGATAAATTAATATAGAAAAAAAAATTTATATATAGGTTTTATATATTTTATTTATATAAAATTTTAATTAATTATTTTTATTATTATAATTAAAATTTATCATACTTTTTTAAATAAAAAATAATTATTATTTTTAATAAATACAAATAAATTTTAATTACTGAAAATTAAAAATAATTAATTAATATTTTATATAAATATTATATGTCAAATTTTTGTATAATTGAATTTCTCTACTCAATTATTATTAATAACTCAAATACTTCTTTCTTTTTTTTGAACTCATAACTCAAATACTATTTATTATTTATTAAATTAGTAAAATCAATGATCGTTAATTTCAAACCAATGTGCCAAATTACCTTAAAAGTACCAAATTATCTTAAAAGAGAAGGAGAATTATTTGGAAACCTGGTGGAAACCGAGCTCTTTTGTAAGAGGCACACCAATCTCGCTAATGCAGCCGTGAACCTTCTGATCGGACACATAAAACGACGCGTATCTATCGATGCAGCCATCTAAAACGGTAAACAGCTCCGCCGCCAACGGGTAGCTTATGGCGAAGCCAGCACCGCCGTAGGCCATTGAGTAGGAGTGAATCGCATCTTGCCCTGCACTCTCAGAATTGCTGCCGATGTAATACATTTCATTATAATCGTATTTCTCTAAGACCGTTACCAGATTCTCGAGGAAGAAGAAGGTGTCATCGTCTCCCATGACGAACCACCTGACGTTGTCAAGCCCGAGCTCGAAACTCTCCTTCACAATTCGCGCAATCCGGAGGGCCGAGCGTGTACCGCGCTTAAACGTATATGTAAAATTAGAGGTATCGCCGGAGACTCTGTATGGAGGCGAGGTTACGGGCCACGTTTCATTCTCTGGAGGCTTCTCGTCGAGCCAAACGAACCCGCGGATGATGTTGGGTTTCCACCAAAGCTCAGCGTAATGGCGGCGGTTGTTCCACGTCTTGGCTGAGCCACTGATGCCGAAGAGAATGTGAGAGAGGTTAGTCTTTCGATAATTAATCTGAGTTTCCCGGTGACCGGATATAGGATCTGATTTTTGGCAATGGGGAGAACAGAGGTACCAGTGTGGTTGAGTGGGGAAAACGCAGTAAAACAGGGGAGAAAATATTGAAACAACTCCTAAAACAGCAAATATCGCTACAAATAAGAAAGGGAAATTTTGAGTTTGTGTGCATCTGTGTTGAACTGCTTCTCTCCTGGAAAACATCTTTCCCTGTAAAAAAACGAAATGGATGCAGGGAACGATGAATGAGTAGAGGAAGAGAGTTTTGCTTCTTTTAGGTAGTTTAAAATATCTACATTGTGGAATTGAGGAATGCGATGGGTAGCCGTCCTTTTAACCACTCTCTCTAGCACCCTCCACATTGTCCAGCCACGTGGCATAAAAATTAAATGAACAAATGGGAAAACCGGCTACAGTGGGTAAAATTAAAGTGATGTACAACTCCCGATAAAACAAAATAAGTTAGAAGATTATTTTCAAAAAAGAAATAAATAAAAGTTAGAAGAGAATTTTTTCTCTAACGCTAAATCAGACTGCTCTCTCCTCCACCCAATCCATAAAAACAAAAAACAAAAAAAACAACGGAAGAAAAGCCAGGCTTGGCTGGAAAAACGGCAAAGCTTAACCGCAAGAGAAAGCTCCAAAGCTCAAAGCATTTCTGATTTCTCAATCCCCCCATTGACAATCCTGATGAAGTATTTAGATTAAAATAGAAAAGTGTAAAATACAGAACAATAAACAAAAGAACGTTCTCTCTCTTGAATTTAGAACTTATATTACTGTTAGAGAGGGAATTTCCTGTTGCTGGATAACCAATGCAACTTCGGT